GACCTACACTTTATCCTGGACTATGGGCTAGAGTACAGAATCTTTTAGTTCTTTTCTGACACAGGGATGGAAGACCAAAGACGTTTGGGAACCTATGTTCTAGACCTACCCTTGCCTCTAGGGAACTAGGAGGAGATGTGCATACACCAACATCTCTGACCTGGGTTTACTCATTTTTAACGTCAGGAATGAGGTTTCATCAATGTTGAGCATATTCTTAGAACACTGGGAGAATGTTTTAGGATTTTCATCTGGATCACCTGTATGATTTTCATGTCACCCAGGCTGCTGCTACCACTCAGTATCAGTGGCACTTCCATTTGAGTTTACTTCTACCTGCACACCAAGCACCAATCCTACATAATGATTTTACAGTACTGCAGAATGAGGAAACAGAGGAAGAACCCAGGCATCAATAGGGAAGGGAAGGCAACCTACAAGTAATTTGCACCACACCACAAAGGGCCAAACTCACTGTCTTCAAGTCCATGTCGACTCACAGCCACCTGCAGGGCAGGCTGCCCCAGGAGTTCCCTGCAGTCCCGAGGCCTGTAACTGCGTGTGGGAGTAGAACGCCCTACCGCTCTTCCTCACACCTGTTGGTGATCTCACTGCTGGGCTTGCGGATAGCAGCCCAACGAGTAACCACTACACCTCCAGGGCCCTTAATTTGCAACACACGCAAAAGAATATCCAGCTTATATCACCAGTAAATGCATTACACAGATTCCATCTTTATAAGTACCAACTTGTACCAATTCATTAACAAAGAATATAGAGTAAAAACATGCTTCTATAATAACTTGTTAATAGAATCAGCGAATGTATATTTTATTAACACGATAACGCCAACTTTAAACTTCAGAGGGAAAAAAGCTTTGGAAAATAATCAATGGATGGCTCATTAAAATTAGCATTGGAGGACTGTTCAAGGATAATTCTGATTAAACATGCGAGCCAGTAATGATAAACATGCAAAAAATGTGCAAAAGTCAGCAACAGCATTTGGTAGATTGTATGTATGCAAATAGGCTTCCTCTATATTCTCATGATTGAAATCAAAATGTACTAACACTTACTGTACACTTTACACCTGAGGCCACACATACGGTTTTCCACTACTGAAAGCTATGTACTATTGTGAATTATTTAATATAGCTCTTCTACCCATCGTCTTTGCTACTCCCACCCAACAACTTTCCTATTCTGATAGGTCGAGGTAGGAAGGTTTGGGGGAAATTCTGATTGGATTCTATGATCCAGCTGTGAGTGACTGTTCACAGGGTTAACTGTGACTGCTATCTTGCTGGGTATAAAGTCAGCCATCTCAAGGTCGGAGTAGGGGATCTCACTAACAGCAAGAGAGAAGAGGAGTACGCACGTCCTTTGGGGCAGGGAGCTGGCACTTCATTGAGGGAAGTAGGTTTGCTGACCCACAGAGCTGGAGCTGAAGGTCTTTAGGCAGAGGCTCACAGTAGATGGCATGCCCTTAGGCATGTACTATTGGCAGCATAAAAAAGGTTTGACATATGGCAACTATACCCTGATCATTTCTCACCTGAATTGTAACCTGTTAATTTTCCTAATAAAATTCAGAATCATGAATACCCCATGTGAGTTCTGGGGGGCCACTGCAATGAATAAATTATTAAACCCAAGTTTAAAAGTTGAAAGTGCTATGGGAGACAGAGAGCTACTAGAATGAAATCTATCAAAGCAGCATAGACCAGTGGTTCTCAACCTTCCTAATGCCATGAACCTTTAAGACAGCTCCTCGTGTTCTGGTGAGCCCCCCACCATAAAATTATTTTCGTTACTACTTCATCGCTGTAATTTTGCTACTGTTATGAATCGGGTGACCCCTGTGAGAGGGTCATATGACCCCCAAAGGGGTCTCGACCCACAGGTTGAGAACTGCTGGCAGAGACATAATACTAAATATACATAAAATTATTATTTTGACTTCATGATTTTTATTTTTGTTCAAATTTGTCTTCAATCTTAGGCTAATAGTTACTTAAAAGCTAGGATAAATTACCTAGAATTTGTCTATGTCAAGGGTTCTCAACCTTCCTAATGCCATGACCCTTTAATACAGTTCCTCATGTCGTGGTGACCCCAAATGTGGGCATCTCTGCATGTGGGTGGGCCCATCCTGAGATAACAGAGGAGTGGTGTCTCGGTTCCTAAGACCATCGGAAATATGGTCTTAGGCGACCCCTGTGATAGGGTGGTTTGACCCCCAAAGGGGTCGCAACCCACAGGTTGAGAACGGCTGGTCTATGTTAAAAAACACAAATACAAAATCAATCTAAATCCTTATTAGGAGTCCATGAGGATTTTTACTTCCCTTGAAGACAGACACCATGTACACAAGTGGAAAACAGTATACTACTTGCTTTTAGGGTTGTAGTACAAAAGCATAACCAAAGCCAAACTCTATTCGACATATATAATAATGCCTTTGGTGAAAATGTGTTCAAAATAGTGGTTAAAATGTAGAGTCCCAGAACTAATGAGTTAGACTCGGATCTCGCTGTAGACCTTGTCAGTGCTAGGGGCTTGGTCACTGTGCCTGTTTCTTCATCCATAAATGGGGAGACTGAGAGCACTTAGCAAACTGAGTTGTGAGGATTTAAGGAGTTAAAAAAATGTTCAGACCAGTGCTGGGCAAATAGTCAACACCACTAAGTAGTCAATTTTTCATCATTTTTTATCACTCAAATGTTATTCCCTATATATTCTGGAAACACAAATTTTCCCACGAGTGCTTATCAAATCCAAAACAGTAAAAGTACTTACTTCTACTCCAAATAATACAACACTTCTGACTCCAGGGATCTCCGCTAAGGCAGCTTCCACTTCTGGTAATACCATCGAAAACTTGGTCTTTGGAAGCACCAGTTTCACACCTGTTAAATCAATTTCTTGAACAGTGCTGCCAAGACCTTTAGGATACTGTTCTGTTACAATAACTGGGATTCCTAAAATGCGAGCTCCTTGCAACTGCAAAAGCAACCAAAGGGAACACAATTAGCACATGGATATCTATAAATGTGTATTATGCTTCAGCAAAGGGAGACAAACAAGCAAACTTACCAATCTTTGTCCCACACTAATAATATCCCCAAAATACTTGATGGCTGGTCGGAACCTTTCCTGCATGTCACAGCAGAAAAACACAGTGCTCGAAGGTGTAAGATTTCCCAGAGTGGTGAGCTGTGGGAAGAAGAGAAATAAAAAGACTCAGCACACGTTATACAATGATATTTATTTTCAGTGGGAGCCAATAAAGGAAAATGTTCCTACTAGTTAATTTGCTTATTCAATTTTTACAATTCTTTCCCCAAATGGTCTGAATTGCAAGGAGAAAAAGGATTCACAAGGAAGCGCACAGAACTGCTAAGGAAAATGGAAAATTAGGATCTATACCAACATTACTTTGGTGAGTAGTGACTAGGATCTGGAAACCTTGTAAGCAGCCATCAAAGATCAACCTATTCGTCTTTTTCCATCCGGAACAATGAAAAGTCAGAAAAAAATAGAGAAACGTGGGAACAATCAGTCCAAAGGGCTACAGGACCACATAGCCTCAGTGTTCCCTCCCCATCATGGTGGATCGTGGCTGCAGAACCAAGTAATTGCCAATGAGGGCGCTGAGTTATTGTTTTTCCTGAAAAGGGAGCGGGAGGCCAAATAAGTTTGGGAACATTGGACCTAGATTAACTAGATGTCCCGACAGCTCTGAAAACGATGCATTAGGTAGGTGGTTCAGGCAAGAATGGGAGAAAAATGTGGAGCAAAACATTATCAGGAGAAAAAAATGCCAGCTGTGAGGAAGGCCCAGGACAAGGCAGTGCTCCTTCCGCTGTCCATGGGGTCCCTGTCACCCCAAACAACTCGGTGGCCTTGACAACATCGGGTCAGGGGTGGCGGCACTTTGTGTCTAGAACTGAGAGCCCCGGAACCAACGTTCAGGCAAACAAAAGACAAGTGGAGAAGGTGAACAGTCACACGCGGGACATTTCACTGCTCAGAACAAACAACATTTGGGACCAAAAGAGGGCGCTTGCCACGGGACATAGTTCAGAAGGCGGGACTACGGAGAAATACAAGCAAGCACTAGGATGAGCATTGTTGATGTGGCGGGGATGGTAATCAGTGAAGGAAACAAAGGGTCTAATGTGTTAGATGTAAACTGGTAAGGTCCGTAAACCACCATCTAAATCAGGATAAAAAAGGTTATTTTTTAAAAAGCAACAATAAAGAAATAGTTTAAGAAATAGTAATGTTTTTTGGCAAATATTTCTAGCCAATTAAACTGACATCTGTATATGTTCTCAAAGACTTTGCAATTATCAAAGGAAAAATATTCATGATATAATACAAATAAAACACCGCAGTTCAATAGCCTTTCAATCTTGTAAAAAACAAACAAAAATGTAAAGCATATATGTTCATGATATTTACACAGAAGTGGTAAAATTGTTAGTAAATTTTTTCACAATGCCTTCTTCCAAGTATTAAAGACAAAACATGTATTTGCTTTAATAATAAAAAAAAAATTACAATAGTAGAAGGGGCTAAAAGATGACCACATGCCTCTGGTAGTAGAGTAGCTTACAAGTAAGCTGGAATTTAAAATAATCTGTGGCCCAGACGATGGAATATAAAGCTAAAACACAGAGACAAATCCAGAATAAATTCAGAATCATCACTATCATCTAGATAGGTTCTAAGGATGGTCCAAACGACCAACTTGCTGGCCTGCTAACCTACGGTTAAGAGGTTCCGACAGGCACCTTGGAAGAAAGGTCTGGTGGCCAACTTCTGAAAAACCAGCCACTGAAAACGTTAAGTTCTTCTCTGACATGGAGTCACCCTGTCAAATGGGACAAGGTCATTGGTTTCGTTTCAAGCACTTTCTTTTTTTTTTTTTAACTGACTTGGGTGAAAGTTCAGAGAATAAATCCGTTTTCCATTCCACAATGCATGCACATTTGTTTCATGTCACTGATTACAACCCTCAGAAAGAAACAGCGCTCTTTCCCCTTCCTTCCTGGGTTTCCTGTGCCCATTCATCCCTCATTCCTGTCCCTTCCTGCTTTCTAAGCTTTGTCACGGAACAGCTGCCGCTCTTCTGGACTCGTATGATTGAGTGTTCTAAGGAATGTAGACCTTCCTAATATTACTGATCACCTTCCAGGCCAATGGCTGAAAGCTGCTCCACAGGAGTGAGTTCAGTTCTAGGCTTGAAGGGTGTCTACGGTCAGCAGCTCGAAGGTTCCAGCAACTCTGACTTAAAGACAACTCCCCTTTGCCCTTGACAGCATGCAATTTTGTCCTTACTTGAAAATGATCAAACCAACCCGTACCAGCAACAACGCTTCATCACAACTACCTGCACATGTGTGCAGCTTTTAAATCACGGAAAAGGCTTTGGGCCCTGGGGGCAGTGAGTTCAATGTTAAATTGCTTCCTGGAAGGTCACCAGTTCAAATCCACCCAGTCGCTGTGCGGGAGAAACCCATAAAGATTTGCAGCCTCAAAGTCCCTATGTAGTTCTACCTGCCAAGGAGGGTCGCTAGGAGTGGAAATCAACGCAAAGGCGATGTGGAGGTAGGTAACCCCAATGAAGTTAAGTGACTTGGTCATAATGACCCTTCTATTCATTGCCTTTGTAAGCCCGCCAAGAGACTGGGTGAGAGCATGCAAACAAGGTACGGTTGGCTGTAAGGAGGAGATTGGTCAGCTTTACCATCTCACTAGAGCAGTGTGCTCCACCTTCCTAATGCCGCGACCCTTTAATACAGTTCATGTTGTGGTGATCCCCAAACCATAACATTATTTTCGTTGCTACTTCATAACTGTAATTTTGCTACTATTATAACTGTAATTTTGCTACTATTATGAATCGGGTGACCCCTGGGAAAGGGTCCCAAAGGGGTCGCGACCCACAGGTTGAGAACCGCTGCACTGGATGTAAGCATGCCATCGCAGAAGCAGGAAGAAAAGAATCCCAAACCCAGAAAAGGAAGCGGCACTTGTTTGGTTCACTGCTTGGAGAAATGGCTGCAGAGAACATGAGACAGAGCAGCAGGCCTCCCGGCTGACAGGACAGGTAAAGCTGAGTGCCTTTGTGCACGAGGCTGGCCTGGCTTCCAGAGTGGAGTGCTCTGTGGACACTGATCAGTGCCAAAGGAACTTTATAACCCTTGGCCTGGCAGGGCAGATGCCAAGGGATCATGTGACAAAGAAGCCTAGGACCTGAAGGAAACATGCCTGCAACATGGCTGAAAGGCTTTGCTACTGACAAAAGGGCAGCATCCGAAAATTCTCTGATCCTGGCTTGGTGTAACCTGTGAACTCCCCTAAAATTACCTCCTGGTTGTCTGTGAGTTCTGTGTGGCCACTTTCACAGGCAGAGCAGCAGGGTGTCATGGGTGGGATGGGTGGTGTCAGAACAGAGTAGAGAAGGTTGGAGGGTGGAGGCATGTCTGACCTCTGCCTCACTCAATTCTGCTCTTCCTGGGTGGAGTCAGAGATCAGGCCTGGCCTCCACGCCATTTCTCCCAAACACCAAATAAGCCCACTGTCATCGAGTTGATTCTGACTCATATATAAGCTCAAAAACCAAACGCACTGCCACGGAGTGGATTCCGGCTCATCATATAGGTTTCTGATCTTCATAGGAGCAGCCAGTCTCATGTTTCTCCCAGGGAGTGGCTGATGTTGGGTTAGAACTGCTGACTTTGTAGTTAGCAGCTCAGTGCCTAACCCATTACAACAGGAGCCATCTGCACCGATTCTGACTCACTTAAAAGACACAGTTAGGAATGGATCTTGTCATAACCCCCACAGACTCCCTGTATATAACTTATAAGCTGGGAAAACTCCACCAATCCCAATATCCTGATTAAGAAAATGTTCAACTATTTCAGAAGGATTACAATATAAAAGGATCAATGATGTTTTCAAGTTGGGTATTTCAAGGACTAAAACCTTTCCTACTAAGAAATGCTGTCTATTCCGAGAGATGGTCTGCCAGGGTTCGTGTTGCCTGGTGATTCCAGGTGCTGCATGTCAGCTGTTGGGAATCCTGTTCTGGGCAGGGGATGGTTGTCACAGAAGCCACAAAATGAGGTCAGAAAACGCTGACCACATGACAATCCTCACCACAAAATCTTTCCAGAATGGGACTCATCAATGACACCCTCCCAGTAAATGAGGCAAGAAACCCATCAACTCAGTGTCAAAGCCTACTGTATGAAGAAGGTCTGACTACCATCCGGTAAACGACAAATGCGCTACCTCCCCACCCTCCTTGGGTTATACTTAGTGATCTGCTTTCTAAGAATATAGACAGAGGTGGGGTGGGAAAGATAGCCTCACATGGAGAAATGTGGGTTCGATGATGTCATCTTGATGGTACAAACTATCTTGATAGGATATGATGAAGATGACCTCTCACCTTCCTCTCAAAATACCACCACCCAGGCTAACCAGGAGAAGACCGCCAGACACCTGCAAGCTGAGCAATTCTACCAAAACAGCTGACCACAGGACCCATCCAAAGTGTCAGGAGCCCCAAACACAAACCAACCAACAAGGGAAGTCTGAGAAACTGTCCCAGCCCAGAGACATGACAACTGAATGGTAATGTGGTGTCCTGAGCAGAACTCTGGAAGAACAGGCACTGGATACCTTGGGTTCAACGGGTGACATCTGCATAAGGATGGAGCTTAGTTGATAGCAATGTATCAGGGCTGGTACCTTACTTATGACAAAGGCACCACAGAAACTTAAGATGATTAACAATAAAGGACGAGCGTGCTCGTAGAGAGGAACTCTCTCTTTGCAACTTTGCTGCCGATCTTTTTTATAAAGAAAGTGGGGGTGGGGCCCCTCCCCTGCAGGAGTTCTGAAGAAGATTCTACCTCATATATAATCTCCCTACCACAAAGAGGAGGCTTTGTGAGAACCAATTTTAAACACTCTCATGATGTGCAGCCACCACCACTGCTCACCTAAAATCCACATGAATCCCAACAGGCTGTTCCTGACATAGCAACTACAATTCAGGAATTTCTTCCATGTCGACTCAAGAATTTCTCTTAAACCCAACCATTACAGGTAACTAAAAACTCTCCCAGCGGGCAACCACAAGAGAGCCAACCGTTCTGCAGTACATGAATTTAAAGTGGGCTAGATGAAATACCACGG